ACTGACCCTGCTCTTCTCTGGCTCCTCTCCAGCTGTGCCAGCAACCACCTGCATGTCCACCACTCTCCAGTCTGTGTGTGCAACCAGCTCTCTCCACCTTGCTCTGAGCAATCTTACGCCCTCATTGACTGTCTCCCAATACCCATTGACTCTTGTCTACTTACCTTGTTCTCTTTGCTCTGTTCTGCTGGTTGAAGTTGGTGTTAAAATAAACCTCCTGGCTAGTCTGACATCCAAGTCCTGCCCTTGTGTCCAAGTGGTGTTCTTTGCCCCAAGACCATAACAGACATGATGCCTGAAAGAAGCACAATATAGATTTTATATTGACAAATGTACAATATAACTATAGCCTTAATCTGTCCCATATTTAATGGGTTTAAGTTGCTCCTCCACTGACACTAAATGTTCCAAAAACAGTGAAAAACTTTTTACATGTACAATTATATACTGTACATCTATAAATGTTATTTTAACCATGCTAGCGCTTTACTATATAGATGCTAGAGTTGTCACTGTTAGGTCACTGTGTGAATGTGATGCTTGTTTAGAGTCCTTGTCCTCGACTATGTACCTACAACATTTTGGCAGGGGAGGTACTTGGAACTAGACGCAACCTATCTGTACATAAATGCACACACTGGCTTTACTATCAAATGCATCATGTCTTAAGATATCTATCTCTTATTCTCTAATGATAGTTCGTTCACTGAATCTTGAATGCAGCATTTAAAACACGCCCTATTTAACAAGTCATGTGTTGTCCCAAGTTGGACTACAGTGTTTTAGGCAGCAGAGACTGATCTGCTTTCTATTTAGGCTTTTCCTGCTAGCAGGAAATGCACAGGTGAAACTAGTTTCTCTAACAATGGCTCAGTTCAGTTAAATGCCTAAGCCATGACAGCGAGCCAGCATGTACAACACATTACCCTGAAACTAGCTCACCTAAGTTTAATGCAGTTGTTTTTGATGATCCTGCCATTCATCTTAGTGGCATCCCTCCTCCCTCTCTACCTACTTACAGTTGATTTCAGTTTCAATTTACCAGAACTGTGCTGAAATGAGATTACAGTGATCATACTAAATGTCCCATCCTTTGCTCTCAAACCTGTGAGGCATGAATAAAGAGAAGGAATGTGAATCCATCTTTCACTCTATTGTTCTCCACTTGCCTTTCTGACTCTGGCCATATGAGCATCTGTCTGACAGTGAAGACAACTGTTATTGTTTAAAACAGCTGAATGCTTTCAATCTGAACAAAGAGTTTCACTTGTCAAAGGCACAGCTATCACAATGCTTTGATTCAGCCCTTGAGCAGATAAGGTTACTAACAGGAAGTCGAGGACTGAATATTTTTTATGCAGCCTTGAGTGACTGCTTTTTATATATGTTGTAGCAGGAAGTATCTCCAGAGAATTGATCAAAATGACTTCACTGATCCCCTTTCCTTGAGATTTTTGTTTTTGAGTGAAATCCATTGGATGGATTGCCATGAAATGTCTTGCAGACATTCAGGTCTCCTTACCACTAACTGTAATAACTTTAGCAACGCCTGACTTTTACTTGTGCCACTATTAAGCCAGCGTTTTTATTTGTCCCTCAGCCTAAGGAGTACTCTGGGTTAAGTGCAGAACTTGGCACACAAGGTGGAAATGTGGTGATGTAATATTTAGTTTAGTAAATATCCCCATTAGTCTTGTCAAAATTAAATTGCTATGACAATTCATTGTCTTAATATAAAATATATCTAGACTTGTGATATGTTTTGGTGCGACCGTCACTGACACTTTGACATCTTGGCGAAAACTATTTAGATGATAGATTTTGTTCTTTAAAACAAGTGTTGTGGCACAGAAATCAGCATCAAATTGATATTACAGAAGGTTCACAAACCATATTGTACTGTTTTTCAGGTTAACTTTTACAAGGTGTTTTAAATAAAATACTCAGTCTTTTTTTTTGCTATTAAACATGAAAAAAACACATCCATTTGTAATAACAAGGAAAACTTTTAATTTGTCTCTACAGATAATACTTTGCCTCATTTAGGCAGATGACTATCTACATGACCTGTCCCAGCTCTGTCAAGCCCTTGAGGAACTGAAACCAGACGCAATTCACTTGACAGCGTTCAAAGGCTTCACTGCACTTCCCCTCATCAAGGTCAAAATGTGGCAGCGTGGACAGCGGAGGTCAAGCCCCTGTCAGCTCCTCAACAAAAACAGCTCATGTTCCTCAACAATCAAGGGTTTGTTGAAGGATTCCAGTGCTGTCATGACAGAGTAAGAGGACTGTATCCTGTATCCCTCTGTTTTTCTCCCTCATTATGTTTCTGTAACCCAGTGGTTACTGATGTTTTTTTTTGTAATGGGCCTCCTTTTCTGGGTAAAAATATTTTTCAGACACCAACTGCTGTAACCTGTAACCTACAACCTCTCAATCATTGTATCATCAAAGTGGAAGCCTTCATTTGTTACTGACAAGATGAGAGTTAGTCATGTTACAATAGCACTAAATGCAGACACCACTGCTGCTGTTGCAACTGGTGACAAAACTACAAATAACTTCCAGTTTTAGAACATCTGTCTCTTTTTCCTCATGCAGTATCTTTACCTCACATCTCTCCCTCCACACCCTTTGTTCCACTTCCCTGTGCCCCCCCCATTTAAAACCCTCTGTAATAAAAGAAAAACTCTCTTTTCTTTCCTTCTTTAGCATAATCAGCATCTATATATTACATTATATATTGCCAGATAAATAGACTTTGGTATGTCCACCTCAGTACTCTGAACTCTTTGCTTCAATTGTCCTCTGGACCTTCTCAGTGCACTGGGGCAAAGCCAGATCCCACAACTGGAAACAGTCATGGTTCTGGATCCCTCTGCATCGCACCACTCTCCTCTGACTCATTGTTTACATGTTGTCTCCACAAAGACCTCATGCTAAAGCAGATACACATGAAACCCTGACGATCCCACTGGTTTATGCCATACTTTTAAGCCAGACATTACCCCTCTCTGCCATCCAATGCACTCTCCTTCCACCCATTATTCATCCACCTCTCCCTCACTTAACAATTGCACATTCATTCTCTTCTTCAGCCTCTCCTGTACTTTCAAAGCCCATTACATCACAAACTGAAGAGACTAAATGAGGTGATAAAGCACCTCCAGGGCTCATCTGCCATTGTCTTCAGTTACAGGACTGGTCACTGGAAGTAACCGCTCTGGCTTTGAACCAAAGGGATTTTACCACTAAAGAACACACCCATACTCACTCCACCTATCATTTCAATTCAGCGTGCAGCACATTTACGCAATTGTGCTGAAGTAAATTTAAGACACTTTGAATATTTCAATTTACACAACTTTATAATTCTAGTCCACAGCATTGCAGTGGAAATACGTTTACTTTAGATACTCCTAACTTTTCACAATTTACATGAATGATGAGGTCATACATACAGATTAAACCTAGTTAAGACCCCTTTGTCATGCTTCAGCAGCATGTATTGTTAGTTCCATCAAAGACCCATTTCCCCTTCAAACTTCAAAGATGCTTTCATTTAATTGAATGCTGGAACCCAAAAGAAGTAAATTCATCCAATATTTCACAAAACAATTTCTTAATATTACCTGACATTTCACACATTAAGCAATTAAAACAAGTGCTAGATAGATCGATACTAATGAAACTAATCACAAGTTGTATCCCTAATAAAATTAGTAAAATACTGTTCCAACAAGCCAGATTTCTAAAAGCTTTTCATTTTTTTAGTTAATTTGGGAACACTTAACTTTTAACCTTATGTATTTTAGCCTCTAAATGTCCAAACCCATAATTACCGGGTGGGCATTTTTCATATTCTTAAAGGTTTTATTTATTGTAGTACAAATACCACTCAGCCAAGAAGCAGCAGCACACACCACTGGATGTAAAAATCCAAACTGCCTTCCAAGATGTCAGTGAGTTTGTGACTGGATCCTCACATCTCAAATCAGAACAGATGTTGTGTTTTTTTTTCCTCCTCCTTTGCCCTCCTTTCCTCTCCCTTTCTCTGGCCACACTCACCAGCATAGCAAATGATTTTCATTCTTGTCTTGTATCCAACAGTTTCAAAGCACCGCACCTCTGATGAAGAGCTCATGGTATTTTAGACTGCTATTACTGATTGTTTGTATTACAAACTGGTCCAGAGCAAAAGCAGACAATGTTTTCAAGAGTTAATTCTGCATTGATACTAACAGCTCCTCTTCTTTTCCTCTTTACCTGCAAACAGACACAAAGATTAACACTGTATGTAACACTGAAGAAGAGAATAAGAGGGAATAAACTGTAAATGTGTTTTTTGTAATTTGGGTTCAACCAAATTACAAAAAACATTCAGTCACAAACCTGCATTGAAATCTAGCCTTAACCGTAACTCTAAAACCAAGTCTTAGCTTTCAAACAACCTGTTCAAGAGAGTTTAGACCAGCCAAAACATCTTCACTTTCCCAAAATCTCCTTACTCTACAACTCAAACCGTTCCTCATAGATTTAGTCCCCCCCTCCCCATCTTCTCTATACACACACAGCATTACATCTCTTTTTCATTCTCATCACCATTTGGTTCATTTTTATCTGTTTTGGCTCATTTGAAGTGCAGAGTGTGACATTTTCCTGGAAATGAGACAACACACAAAGGCATACACGAATGCACACAAGTAAACAGAGGAACACTACACTAGAATCATTTTTCCATCTTTGGCCAAATTATAGCTGGACTAATATTATTTCCAGCTGTTCTAGAGTGAATACCTACACAGATCAGGCAGCTAAAGGGCACTACCACCTGGTCAACAATGGTCACTACAATTTTGAGGGGGTTTAAAAATAAAAAAAAATTCACAGAAATGATGATTTGGTGGTACCCAGTGGATTCACACTGTCATTACAATACTGAAAAACTACATGCTTACTGTATTATCTAAAAATTAAGGCTCTTATCATTGACTGCAAGGTTAACCAAACAACAACATTTAATAAATGAATTTGCAATGCAAAACATCTGTGCAAAAATGTTTCAGACAAAATACAAAGACAAGGCCTCTCTTGGTCAAAAGGATGTAAACCTTTTGTAATGGGTACATTGTTACTGAAATATAAATTTAGTTGTATTTAAAAGAAAATATTTAAAATAAAAAAGGCACAATAATGTTTTTTTTGCCAAATACAACAATACATAGACTTGATTCACAGTCTTGTGTACAAGTGGTTTTTGCACTGATGTCCGTACACATAAATCTTCGACATTACTGCAGGTCATGTGCACAAACTCAGCTGCTTAGGTAGCTCAATCTGCTTCAGAGGAACAAAAAGATAAAGAGAGAAAAAAACAGCAATGAAATAAAAAAAAATTGTGGGAAAATTAACTTAAAATGATTGAAATCATCTTGAGGAACAAATCTTTTCAAAGACTCCAACCAAGAGCTTCTCCCTTCATGTTTCTCATGACAGATAATTATCTACTCTACTGACCATACCTGGTTTGAAAATGATCTTGGGGTAATATAAAGCTTAATCAAATTTAAAAATGGAGGGCTGATTTACTGCATTTTGAGCTTGAATCTATAGCTAACTGAAACAGCTGCTGGGTTACTCTAACATACTGTACTCTGGGAAGTTTCAAAACAAAAATTACTTCAGTCATTTCTGGTTTGAGTCTGGGTTTAAAGAAAAACTAATTCGATTACAGGTTTGTCTATCTACATTCCACAAATGTCAACTTAACACTATACCATAAAAAAGCTATTTAGGAAATCTTTACTGTGCTTTGCGCTCCCTTCTGTCATGCTAGATGATTATCAAATACAGGTGACTGATGGCATAATCATCTGTAAACATCAGAGTGCAACACATGCAGTCAGGAAGTGAATGACTGATTGTCTACTACACAAGTAGAGAAGGGAATTTCATATCAATAATCACAGCTAATATCACACTTCTCTGCCTCTACAATATTCCTTAACAATAAAAGCTTCATATTTAGCTCTGCTGCTGATCAACCATCATCATTAAATATTAACTGGTAGCTCACATAGCATTTGTGTGTTTCCAGGACTGAGAATGATTCATTTACCAAACACACACACTTCTTCATATCACAAAAAAATTTTAGTGTACAAGCATCCAACCCGATCATGATTAGCTGCGACTGGACGGCGGAGATGTTAAAATAAAAATACAGCTGTAACAGAACGGACCGATCCAGTTTATCCTTTAAAAAAAACTGCTCTTGTTGCTAGTACAGTTGGTGCCAGGTATACCCAGGACCAGTTAGAAGCAACATGCATACATCTTTTCACACACAGTACTACAATTTGTTCAGCAAGGTTTGATCTTTTTTTTGTACAACACGGATGCCATACTACAGGAGAGTAAAGGGCAAAGACACATGAAGACAAGCCTCACAAATAAAACCTGTTTCTTCAAAATTCAAATGCTGAAAGAAATTCTCCAATGAAAATGAAAACATCCAATATACAATAAAAACATTAATTTGTGAGGGCTGACATTTCAGCCTACATTACCGACAGTAAAACTGACCCCAGCCCTCATGTGGTGAATGAACCATTTGTCCTGGGGGTGGTCCAGTTCAGCTGTTGAGGACATGAGCACCGCATGATTTCATTTGTACATCTGTAGGGGATCCTGAAATTATGGGGTCCTGCAATATCCTGAGAGGGAGGACGTGTGAGACAATAAGGGAAAAGACAAAATAAAGGGATCATGGAGAATGTTGAGATGCATTAATGGTCTGTATACTCATTTAGGGAGACAGGAAAATGATGGGAGAATGAAAAGTTAATATGGCACTTAAAATATCCAATCCAAAAACTCCCTGGACAGCTATATACTGAGGCTTGAAAGGCAAAAAGACCTGTGTCCATGTTGCAGAAGTCTGCAGTTATGCTGAGGCTGCACTAAAACATTCAGGTGTCATTTCTGAAAGGATTTTGTGTGAAAAAGATGATGCATGAGCAGCTTACTTCCAGCTAAGTCACCTCTCATGTAACCGTTAGCTGTCAAAATGTTCAAATTCAGCTTTCGAGTCCAAAGGGCAGGGCGTGTCACCTGGATGCCTTGTATACTCATGTATTTGAGCAGATTGGAGCTGGTCTCCTCATGAAAAGCCGCCTCACTTCTGGTTGGTTCAGCTTGCTATTCCCAATATTGCTCGCCAGGCTGTGGCTTACTATAGCTTTACACTAGAGTACATTTGTTTGTGTTAATATGTCCAACAACAAGCCGGTCAGACCCTTGCTAAAAGGCACCTAAAGGAAATTAGAAGAATGTCAGTGTCTCCTTCACATCCTGCAAGAAACAGGCCACTGACAGTGACTTGATGACAAACAGTTTTCGTTGGTCAGAGGACTGACTTGCTACTTTATCACCTTAAAGTGTCTTTCCATAATAAAATGTTCTTTTGAATATATATCTTTGTATTTCATTCATTCATTTAGGACATGTACCATATTTACAAGGGTTAAAATAACATTTGCAAACCATGATAGTAAGTACACTTCCTTTAAACAATAAGGCATTAAAAAGTCAAACAGCTGTGTATATACTTGTGTGTACTGTAGCTGCAGCAGTGTTTCTCGCACACCCAGGTGTGCTTACAGGCCCGTTTCTGTCGGGTCTCTGTGCGAGTAGAATAACTAGGCTAGGTGCCCGGGCAAGAGGCTGAAACACTCATATCTGAGTCCCAAGCAGAAAAAGTGTGAGTATCCATCTATTTATCTACAGGTCCGCGGTGATGACAGAGTCGTTGTACATTAGTATGTCAGAATCACCAACGAGCAGCGCTGATGTCTGTGATGAGTGGTCCAACGCTCCCACCCCCTTCTGGGAAACTTGTCCGTACACCTGAACCAACCCTCCGCCGCTGCCCGGCATGACGCAGTGAGAAAGCAGCGGTGTGTTAGCATCATGGTTGGAACCTGCAGTGGAGGGCACTCCGCTGACGTGACCTGTGCTGGTGGAGCCACTGGCACTGCTGGGTGACCGGCTTTTAGGAGGTGGCAGCTGGTGCTGGATTACTCTGGTTGGAGGGGCAGGGGCAGGGAAGTGGGCAGGAAAGGCTGCATATCCTGGTGGGATGGGGTATCCATTGACAGGGATAAAACGCTGGTGGGTTTGGGGCACAGCCATGGGTGTCCAAGCTGGAATTGGAGCGATCTGCCCTGGAGCAGGAATAGCCTGGGTTTGGTAGAGGTACCCAGCAGCAGCGGCAGCAGCGGCGTAACGGGGGTTGCTGAGGTTGCTGACAGGGCTGGCACTGAGCGAGGTAGTCTGGGTGGTGGCATTTCCCCCACCACCAGAGGGTGTGCTGGAGCTGGCGTGAGATGAAAGCCCCTCCCAGGCTCTCAGACGGGCGTGAATGTCCTTAAAGCGTGGTCTCCGTGCTGGACCCTCCTGCCAACACTCAGTCATCAAACCATAGAACCTGAGAGACAACCCCCCAAACAAACAAACAAAAAAACAAAGAGAAGTTGAGAATACAAAGGAGTTACAGTACACCATGTATGTGGTCCATTACCTTCTTATAATTTACTCAGCAGTATAGGTTGATCTGTAACATTAACTGAACATACCTTGGTGGACAGTCCTCAGGGCAGGGCAGCAGCTGCCTCTTTCTCACCATCTCCATCACTTCTTGGTTGGAGAAACCGTAATAGGGCTGCAGGCCATAGCTGAAGATCTCCCACAGCACGACTCCGAATGACCAGATGTCTGAGTCTGTGGTGAACTTGCCATAGGCAATGGCCTCAGGGGGCATCCAGCGGATGGGCAGCAGAATTTTGGGCTGGATGCAGTAGTAGTCTGAGGAGTAGATCTCTCTGGAGAGACCCAGGTCAGAAATCTTGACGTGGAGCTGTTCTCCGACTAAAATGTTCCGAGCTGCCAGGTCTTTATGGATGTAGAAGTGACTGGATAAGTACTCCATCCCAGCAGCAATCTAAGTTTGTTTGGTCAGAAAAAAATCATTTAAGAAGTAATTAGTGGTGAACTACATCTGGTACACAGCAACAAGGTCAAACTGAGAAAACAGCAATCCATCAATCATGCAAAAATATGTACAGAGCTTACAGACCTGTATGGCCATATGCAAGAAGTCTCCATGATCTAGGCTGGATTTCACTGTGCCATCCTCATCACTGCTACAGCCAACATCTGAGTGTGGTGAACGCATGATGAGGAACTCATGCAGGTCGCCCTGAGGAAGAAACTCAAACAGCATACAGACAGGCTGCTCCTGGGTCACCACGCCTAGGAGGCACACCACATTTGGGTGTTGTAGCTCTGTCAGCACTGCAGCCTCCTGTGTTGGAAACCAGAAAAGGAACTGTGATTTCTGTTCTGATGTTTGGGGTTTGAAGCACTGTGGCCTTGAACGATGGTTGTACAAGGTTTGTCGTTTGCTTCGTATCAGATCTAGTCTAGCTCACTCCACTTTTTACAGCTACCTTTCAGCACTGCTGGGGGTGAGAGCTTGCACAAAAGATATATTTTGGATATAATGTCACTTTGAGGCAGGCACTTTAAGTCTACCTCACTGTCCATAAATGGAAAGTAAGAATTATGTTTTGCACAAGTCATTTATTTCAGTCCTCCTTAAAGTCCAAGTTCATCTGGACAATCTGCCTGTACTTAGAGTTTATTTTAGATGAATTCTTCTGCTCTCCAGTGATAGTACTGTATACAGTCCCGCATCGCCCCCTATATTTACCTTCTGTGGAACTATAACAAGTCATCCTTCAGTACTTGTGGGAAGAGAGAGCTTCCCACTGGGAAAGAGCTGTATTTTAGAATCACAACTGACACAATCGCTAGTTAGAAACATGTCTTAAAGTAATTTAGTTTTAGAGCTGGTAAACAGGCAACAAAAAATGACTTCAGTGGCTGTGTTCTCACTAATAATAGATAGCTTTACAGCTTTCTGAATATTTCTTTACAGTTTAATGCATATTTGGAAGGAGGAGGTTTGATGAAAGAGATCAATTTTGTACCTGCTGGAAGTCACCCCACTGCTGGGCACTGGAGATATCCTTCAGGGTCTTTATGGCTACAAGCTGTGCCTGATCCATGCCGGGCAAGTACAGGTGACCCTTGTAGATCTTCCCTAAAGTGCACTCTCCAAGCTCCTCCATGAAACGCACAGCTGACAGGGGAAGCTCTTTGGCCTTACTCTGCAAGGAGAAGATGATGATGATTTATTAGGCCCTCACTATTATGTACAGAGCCCCTGAGGGGTCATGTGGTAGGCAAAAATATTCAGGTGAGAATTTATATGCATGGATTGCTAAATCTTGTACTTGTATAGAAAATTGAAATGATGACATCAGTTTACACTGGTGAATCTAATTTTATGCAGGCAGAATGCCTAATATAACACCAAATATGAGTTTGACTTGTAAAGGAAAATTAAAGTACAGCCTAGAGAGCTGATAATTGTCATAATGAGACTCAGTCCATTACATCAGTTCCAAATAACTCCCTTTAAGCCTTTGGAAAGTGGTGTTGGAAAAACCTAAAACCTGACCCCATGACAACAGCTTAAAAATGTCATTTAGCTGAGAAGTCTGCAGCATTTAGGAAGACTAAGCAATTAATCCTTTTGCCGGTAAAACTGTGGACTCGGCTGCAGAAATAACAGAAAACCCTGTAGTTTTCTTTGTGAGGGACAGCGCTGCCTTTCTAGTCTTTAATGGCCACTGAGGAGGACTCACACTGGAGTCTCATTTGTATAACTAAATCCAACAGGGCTGAGCTGAACTGTGGGGTTATAACAAGGAAAGAAACTCTCATAGTTCAGGTGGAATTAACTGAATCAAGGTCTGCTTGAAATAGTGACGAGATAGACAAGAGGAGAGAGTAAGAAACAGGTGTTTCACTGGGTTATGATTTTATATACACTAAATTTGTGATGGAAAACATACATAAGCATCCACATAAAAGACAATACACCTGTGTTTAAAGGGTTAGTATGCTTCTTTTGGCTGTATTTAACAAATCTCATCCCGAGGCCAGGAACAATCAATCAATCAATCACTTCTATTCACTGGCACTGTCTGTGTATCCACAGCTTGATGTAGCTTATTCTTCTGTGCCATAGAGCTTCACTGGTGCCCATAATTCAAAACACATCAAGGAGCAACAGTTCATTCACTTCATTCATTACAATGAACACGGGCAATGTGGTGCATTTTGTGTTAACCCCACTGTCTTGCTGTCACAAACCCTCAATAATGCACTGAATATGTATCCATCCACAGGTACAAAAGTGTCCAGTAAGTTAAGAATGTTACTAAGCTAAACAACCAAAAGACATATTTGTGACTTATGTTTTACAGAATTATGTCTTTAGCAGGAAT